TCGGAACAGCACTCAATGCTGTTCCTGAAGGCTCACTCTCAGACATCTCAGCCAGTCGGCTCTCCAGATGGCAGTTCATCCAACAACGAGTTCAATATTTCTGGCGCATGTAGTCAACTCAGTATTTACAACAACTACAAGCCATCTCAAAGTGGCATCACGCTCTCAACCAGATTAAGGTAGGTTCTCTCGTTCTCCTTACTGATAAGCGTTTGCCTTCAGGAAAATTGCCCATGGCTAGGGTGCTCAAATTGCTGTCAGAGGAGGATGGACTCACCAGGGTGGTATTGCTGAAGACGGCCACCACAACACTCACCAGGCCGATCACCAAGCTCGCAGTCCTCCCAGTGGCCGCTCAGAAGGCAGCATAACTCATAATCAACTTCGTTGTTGATGGCGGGCGGAAATGTATGGGAATTAATCTGCCCAATCAGAACGCTCAACAGTTGTCGCTCAATGCAGACTCGCCATAACTCATCTCGGCGGTGAAGAAGCGCCGTGACGCCGGCTTCTTAGTCAGTCATCTCTTTGTCATCTCATATACAACACGTGTCTTCTCATTAGTTCACATCGACTCGTTTCAATCACACGCGTCCTCTCAACTTTGTCTACGTCTTCTCACAAAGTTATAAGTTCGATAGGATTAATATAATCCTCATCGTCCGATTCAAAAGTGATTAATATAATCACGCCGTCTCAAGTCCACTCAGTATAATATTCTCAGTGATAAGTTCGGAACGTAGTCTGCTCAACGGCCACTMAGTTTAAATCTCAACCGACACGCGGTGTACTCGTAYGCATTTTWAATAAATCTGACSACTCACTGCAATTGCTCGGCGTTCTACTCATTAAACCTACTCATTTCCTCAACATTAATGCAATCTTAATTTCTGAAAAAGAAGCTGTAGACGTAACCGCAGGCACCATTCGGTGTACCGATACAGCTGGGTTGTAAAATTACCCAAATACTAGCAATAATATCTGATGCTAGCCTGCATGAGACTGAGCAATCGCTGGTGACCYCGCCTCCTCGTGGCCCCCGCTGGACAACGTTTTGCTGGTAAATCTTAATGATTTGCCAGCAAAACAAATAAGTGGGTCACTTCCCAGCTTTGGGACGGTCTACCTCTCTGATGATTCAGAAATGGTGAAGAGGGGGTTTTTCCAAGCCCAATGATCATCTACGGTCATTGTCATTATATCTTCGCAATGGTTTTACGCATTCAACATCACGTGTAATAGGCAATTAGCCTAAGACACAGCTGGGCGAGCTCTTGCTCGACGTATGCTCAGAATTAACACTAGATATTAGGTAGGAAAGTGGAGTGAAGAGAGAAAAAGAAGAGTGACAAGATTTAGATTAGGGAATGAGATGAGGGAAGGGTGATACTGGGAGGAGGAGAAGAAAAAATGTAGGGTGTGTGGTTGGGAGAGAGAGACATGGGAGCATGTGTTGGAGGGCTGCAGTAGAGCTGTTGAGGAGGAGGACGGGAGAGGAGTGGAAGAGAGGATAAAGGAAATTTTGGATGAGAGTGGAATGGGGAAGGAGTGGATGAAGAGGATTGGGAGTATGAGAGAGAAGAAGGAGAGACAAGGATGGGAATAAGGGAGGAAGAAGTGGAAGTTTGGAAGGGAGGAAGGGGAAAGGAGGGAGAGGGTAGTGCTAAGATAGGTTGAGAAGATAATTGTAAAAGGAGTGTAACCCTTCGGGGAAACAGTAAATAAATCTATCTATCTATCTATATCATGCAAGTGATTTTCTAAAACTGAAAAATATAAAAATTCTTAGTGATACTTTAATAATTTGCCCAGAGCATGCACATGTAAATCTAACCTCAAAAATTGATGAAAAAATTCTAAATGATAATGCAAAAATGATCATTGTCCAAATAAAAATAATAAGTAAAGAAGAAATAAAAGAACAAATTCTTAGAGAAATAGATAATTAAAAAGAAAATGAACATGAAGAAACTATGTATTAGGATCGTACAGAGTTGGAGACACTAAGAATTGAAAATAAATTATTGAAAGAGTTGAATAATGAAATGCAAGAAAAGAATTCATTACTCAAAGAAATGCCTAATACTGAAAAAACTAATGAGAATGATTCTACAGACAAGAAAAGTTATGCAAAGAGATAGTGACAACACCCAAAACTCAACCAAAAAGAATACCAAGAATAATAATAAAGAAAAATAATGAAAGTAAAGAAAACATAGATCAAATTAACAAATATGTGTCACATTATTTAGTCAGGGAAAAGACAATTCAAACAAAGAGAGTACAAGTAAAAGCAAGAAAAGAAATAATAGTAAACTGCCTGACTGAAGAAAGCGCAAATAAAGCTCTCAAAATTTTGAATMACAAGCTTGCACAAATTTGCAAAATTGAAAAAGAAACTATATCTAAACCAAAAATTAAAGTTGTAGGAATAGATACTTGTGAAAATATGAGTAATGAAGATCTACAAAATGATATCAATACAAGAAATTTAAAGATATGGACGGAAAGTGTGTAGGGTTACATTCTTACAAAAATATAAAAATAAGTCACAAACAGCAATTGTTGAAGTTACACCTAATTTGTACAAGCATATTAGAGAAAATAAAAGTAAAATATTTGTAGGATATCAAAACTGCAAAGTATATGATATAATTAATGTTAAGCCGTGCTTCAATTGTGGGCGATTTGGTCATAATGGGTCTAAATGTAGAAATGAAACTARATGCTTGAAATGTGCTGGTTCCCATAAAACCATGCAGTGCCTAACACAAACTTTTACTTGTGCCAACTGTCTCTACAGTAATAGTAACTACAATACTAATTTTGAGGTTAACCACGTGCCTAATGACGGCGAAAAATGCAAAATTTTAAAAGCAAAGATAAATAGGTTTTATAGACATGACTGATTATCTTATAAAATCTATTTTACCGAGATATGAAGATAAGGTAGACTATTTAATTAAACGAGCAATAGTTACAAGTTCGTCTATTACATCTGTATTATCATTACAAGACTCAAATCCAGTAACACAAGTGACTAAACCAAACAAAAAATCTGCAACAAGAAATTACCTTGGATATTTTTATACAGCGAGAATATGAAATAGAAGATTTACAGGCTTTTGACAAGAATGTCATTGATAATAGAAATATTATTTTGTGTTAACATTAGAAGTAATAATGCTAATTTTAATAAACTTGAAGTGTTCGTTGAAATCCGAAAACAATCCAAAAAAATTTTAACGCAAAGTTATGTAAAATAAGCTAATTTTAGAAATTTTTTTTTTCAATCGAAAAAAAAATAGAAAGAAAAGTCGGCACAAAATCTAAATAGGGGGGTTAAATACTATCTTAGTTAAAGTTTTTTTTTTTGAGACAAAAAAATTGAAAATCGAAGGTTCCGAACTTCGAAAAAATGACGGTTTTATTGAAAAAACGAAAATATTTCATATCCTGACTTTTTAAAATTTTTTTTTTTTCTGAAAACTACAATTAAAAATGAAAATTTAAAAAAAAAAGTGCCAAAAGGTTAATTTGTGTCAAAGTTAT